ATTTGCCTCATTTTAAAACCTGGTGAGAACCTGTTTTTTTTTTTACACAAATGTAAATATAATTGCTGTTAGATTAACTAAAATATTAGTAAGTCTTTAAGGCTCTGTGAAATGACTGACCAAACCGACCAATCTGTCAGTTCYTTGTCTGGTCTGTGATCCTTTAGCAATGAGCTGGTGAATAATTAATCATAGAATACATAAAATTCTCACTAGGGAACTGGACTGTATCCTCAGAGCAGACAACCACAGAGGGACATTCAAGGTCAGATAAAACAGGCTTCTTTGCCAGCTTGTGTGAGGATAAAGACACTGGAAAATACCTATAATTGGTTTAAAACACAGCATCGTGGAAAGCTCCACACTAGCCCTGCGGTCATATTGGCTCTTTTTCCAGTTGAATTTCAGTAGAATTAATGAAACTTCAATTAACCATCAGGGGTCCATCATCCAGCTCACCTTCCTAATCTAGTGTGATAGAAGCAGTTAAAGAATCAGCAGATCCAATTTATACTTTCCCACCAAGTAGAGGCTGAGAGTATTAGATAGTGGTGGTTATAACACTGACATGCTTTCACTGTCAAAGTCTGCAACGTTGCATCACGCAGTGTCACACTGTTTCTGTTTAGCCTTCCCAATAATTTGTAGCKCTATAAACACCATCACATTATAGACCCAGTGTCACACTGTTTAATGCAATCTGACCCCTGATGGTTAAATTATTTAGGTGCTTTGAAGAGAGGAACCCAACAAGCCTCCTTAATTGATACGCCCTCACACTAACGGTCACACTGCTGTGAAAGGGTGCACAGATCAGCGCTGCACAGGCCTTTCAGGCACATTGTCATTCTTCCTTCTGCAAACTGGAGCTTTTTAATGAGCGACCACCCTGTTTCTGCAGCATTGTCTGCAGCACGGACATCCACAGCTGGACTTCAGGACCAGGTTCAGTCTCCATTATGCTTCCTCAGTAAACGGAATGAACTGCAGTAATAGATTTTCTTTGTGTCCCGCATAAATTCTCAATTGCCAGTTTTTCCTCTTTTCACATTTCAATTTTTTTATTCTGCAGCYTTTCCCTGCTAAATTTTCTTAAATTAAGTTAATTATGTTTGTGAAA